TTCTGCCGAGGACTAAATGGATGCCCCCCCCCCCTTATTTTGAAACGGTATGAGAGTTTGCATTTGTGTTTAGGTCAGAACTTCTTGTGTTGGGCGAACAATGGTGAGAGGGGGGGGAGCGGGAGGCGGAGAAAGAGTGAGTTACATAGAGGTAAGGCGTCAGGGAGAAAGAGAGTTGATGTAGGAGAGAGTGCAAAATAGAGAGTGTGAGAGGGAATGCAAGAGATAGAGAGTTCAAGAGAGAGAGAGAGAGAGGGGGGGGTAGAGTGAGGTAGAGAGAGAGACAGGTATAGAGAGGTAGAGAGAGGTAGAGAGAGAGAGAGTTGACAAGATAATGGAGACGCCATCAACGCTCTCTCTCTCTCTCTTTCTCCAAATAAAGAGATGTTTGCTCGTGGATTAGTAGGCTAGTGGAAAAAATAGAAAGTATCAAATTAAAATAAAAATTGTCGAGTTATTGCATGAATATTTTCTCGTTCGCATTGCGGCCCTTCAATAAAAAGCCATTTTAATTTAGAGCAGATTAGATTGTAATTATGCTATATCAAATCTGAATAATAATTGTCTTTATTTACATGCAGTTGGCTGAATAAGACTTGGCTATTTTAGGGCTCTTTCCTTCCTTCAATCTTTCCATCAATCTTTCCATGAATCTTTCCTTCACTCTTTCATTTAATATTTCCTTCAATCTTTCCTTTAATCGTTCCTTCAATCTTTCCTTCAAGCTTTTCTTAAGATTCCTTCAATCTTTCCTTTAATCTTTCCTTTAATCGTTCCTTTAATCGTTCCTTCAATCTTTCATTCAAACTTTCCATCAGTCTTTCCTTCAAACTTTCCTTCAGTCTTTACTTCAATCTTTCCTTCAATCTTTCCTTTAATCTGTCCTCGAGTATTTCCTCCAGTATTTCATCCAGTCTTTCCTTCAGTCTTTACTTCAATCTTTCCTTCAATCTTTCCTTTAATCTCTCCTCCAGTATTTCCTCCAGTATTTCATCCAGTCTTTCCTTCAGTCTTTCTCAGCAGCATATTTTAAAAAGTTTTAACTGTTATAAAACTAAACAATTGTGGGATGAAGAGGCGCCGAAATTCTGAGCAGCCAAAGTTGCCGGGGGAGGGGGGCAGTAAGTACTGTTAAGAGAAGCACATCTTGTGGGGGCGTATATTATGTTTTAAGCCCCTCCCCAAACATCCCCCCCCCAGCGGGCAGTAGTACGTTAGTAGTACTATCAATAACGCTTGGTCTGGGTGGGGGGGGGACAAAGTTACTAATTAAAACATTTAATATAATTATAATTGTATCTACATGATACAAGAGGGTGAGGGAGGTAATAGGAAATAAACCAAAATATGGGAACGAGTAGTCTGATCTTGAATTGTAATTTATTCTGCGTGGATATTTTAAATAATTGTGTCAATATGACCTTCGAATGACTTCAAAAAAAATTTCTTTAAAAAACATTTTGTGAATATAAAAATTAAAATCTATGAAATCAAAATCCAAAGTTTTTTTTTATGCATTAGTCTAATGATATTAATTAAACTTAGTTTGTGTGCCTGGCGTGTGTGTGTGTGCGTGTGTGTGTGATTGTGTCATTGTAAAGCTAAATACCGAGGCTTAAAATATAACCGAGGTATGAGTCGAATGCTTAAAAATAAACGCATCTTTCAAGTACGGAATATTCTTTTGTCAAGGGTCAAAGGGTCAAGTTATTTTTAATACATGTTAAGGTTGTTCTAAGTTCTGACACAAGAAACATTTAAAAAAAAATGAATGATACAAACAAGATGTTTTAAAAAACGTGTATGGTTTGAAAACGTGTATGGGGACAAATTGAATCAACGCGCGAATGCTGCAGAAGGACTTCATTAGTTACTATCAATGAAACACCCTTTACCATTAGTGAAACAGCTTTCACCATTAATGAAACAGCTTTCACCATAAATGAAACAGCTTGTACCATTATGAAACACCCTTTACCATGAATGAAAAAGCTTGTACCATTAATGAAACTGCTTGTACAATCAATGAAACAGCTTGTACCATTATGAAACACCCTTTACCATAAATGAAAAAGCTTGTACCACTAATTAAACACCCTTTACCATCAATAAAACAGTTTGTACCACTAATTAAACACCCTTTACCATAAATGAAAAAGCTTGTACCACTAATTAAACACCCTTTACCATAAATGAAACAGCTGATACCACTAATTAAACACCTTTTACCATAAATGAAAAAGCTTGTACCACTAATTAAACACCTTTTACCATAAATGAAAAAGCTTGTACCACTAATTAAACACCCTTTACCATAAATGAAAAAGCTTGTACCACTAATTAAACACCTTTTACCATAAATGAAACAGCTTGTACCACTAATGAAACAGCTTGCACCACTAATGAAACAGCTTGCACCACTAATGAAACAGCTTGTACCACTAATGAAACAGCTTGTATCACTAATGAAACAGCTTGTACCATTATGAAACACCCTTTACCATAAATGAAAAAGCTTGTACCACTAATTAAACACCCTTTACCATGAATGAAAAAGCTTGTACCACTAATTAAACACCCTTTACCATAAATGGAAAAGCTTGTACCACTAATGTAACACCCTTTACCATAAATGAAAAGCTTGTACCACTAATTAAACACCCTTTACCATGAATGAAAAAGCTTGTACCACTAATTAAACACCTTTTATCATAAATGAAAAAGCTTGTACCACTAATTACACACCCTTTACCATAAATGAAAAAGCTTGTACCACTAATTAAACACCTTTTACCATGAATGAAACAGCTTGTACCACTAATTAAACACCCTTTACCATAAATGAAAAAGCTTGTACCACTAATTAAACACCCTTTACCATAAATGAAACAGCTTATACCACTAATTAAACACCCTTTACCATAAATGAAAAAGCTTGTACCACTAATTAAACACCCTTTACCATAAATGAAACAGCTGATACCACTAATTAAACACCTTTTACCATAAATGAAAAAGCTTGTACCACTAATTAAACACCTTTTACCATAAATGAAAAAGCTTGTACCACTAATTAAACACCCTTTACCATAAATGAAAAAGCTTGTACCACTAATTAAACACCTTTTACCATAAATGAAACAGCTTGTACCACTAATGAAACAGCTTGCACCACTAATGAAACAGCTTGCACCACTAATGAAACAGCTTGTACCACTAATGAAACAGCTTGCATCACTAATGAAACAGCTTGTACCATTAATGAAACAGCTTGTACCATCAATGAAACAGCTTGTACCATCACTCAAACGGCTTGTACCCAGTGAAGTAGTTAGCGTTGGTGTCAACCGGTGCGGTAAACTCATGGTGTCACCCCCCTCCCCCCTGACTTCCACGATGTATTTCTTCTGGAGCTAAAGAAGCTAAATGTATTTAAGAACTATAACAACGTTAAGCAGTTATTTTTCATGAAATTTAAATATAAAAAAAAATTCCTTTCCTGTTCTTCAAAGTTGCAAACCTGTAAATCACTTGATCGTAATCAATATCCTTCACTGTATCGATTTCAATGGAGAGTAAAGACAGATTAGAAATCATTGCTTGTCCCGTGGCGGATCGTACAAAGTTCTTGATAAGCCTTAGTTTTGAAAAGCTCCGTTTACATGAAGCCACAATCACACAGATCGTAAGGAACATTTGAAGGCTTAGCGAGAGTATTGGAAGAGATTTTAGGAAATCTTATTCAGCTATGAATTTCAAAACATCAAATACTGACTAATCCATGACTTTGTGAAATTAAATATCAGCTGCCTGTAGGCGTCTTCAAAGCCTTGGTATTGCCTTTAAAAGTTCATTTTCTGATAGCTCATCATAGAAAGAGGTTCATTTTGGAACAGACACCAATAACTTCTCTACTTGCTGATTGTAGACTTGGGTTGAGCAGCCCCAAACATATCTACTACTTCATTGATCGCTGATAATCTGATCTGGAGTGTACAATGAAAGTAATCAATACACTCCAGTATCTCCTTTCTTAAACCTTAATCTTCTCTGTACTGAAATTCCATTTTGGTCTGATGTTAAAAGTGACTTCAATAGTGAGAGTGCTTCTCGTGCAGAAACAATCTTAAGGCCTCTAGGTTTGTCACCACTTTTTCAAGAGTAAAGCCTTTAGTTTGCAGATACTGCTGTGTAAGATTACCTTCCTCCAGTAGATCAGCCCACAGGTAAAGGTAACAAAGACATGAAACTGCAGACAGCATGTAAAAGACAATACGCTTTATGACAATCGTGCTCAAATATCATGGGGCAGTTCTAGTGACGAATTGACGAAAATAACTAACTTTTTTTAGTGAAAAGCGTTGTTAAATAATCATAAAAACGGTGTTTTTCTGGCATAATTATAAGGTCACCTCATAAGATCACCTCATTATAAGGTCACTCATAAGTTCACCTCATTCCAAACGTATCATCCTTGAATTCTAAATAAAGAACGAATTTGAACTGGTTATGTATGTGAAAAATTTAAGTATGTTTGGTTTCCCTCTCATGAAATTCGATTAGACCGAGTTTGTGCTCTGCCAATATTCATTTTATTTTTCCATTTCGTGTCACCGCCGCACCCACCTTGCTACGCCACTGCTTGTACCAATAATGAAACAGTCTGTACCATTAATGAAACAGTCTGTACCATTAATGAAACAGTCTGTACCATTAATGAAACAGTCTGTACCATTAATGAAACAGTCTGTACCATTAATGAAACAGTCTGTACCATTAATGAAACAGTGTACCATTAATGAAACAGTCTGTACCATTAATGAAACAGTCTGTACCATTAATGAAACACCTTTCACCATTAATGTAACTACTTAAGAACGCTACAAAGTGCAGAACTTTAAAGAAAAGTACAGATAAGTTGCCCGAAATTATACAATTAAATTGTAATTTATTTCTTTTTCTATATTTATACATTTCAATTTTATAAATATTTTTATAATAAAAAAAAAATAATTGTGGAGCTCACGAACATAAAGCGGACCCCTTTTATCAAGACAACTTTAAGGAATGCATTCAGTCACTTTATAGATCAGCTAGTTGTGACCGCAAACAAATACAATACAATGTATGTATATCTTTGTTGTAAGCCTTATACTAAACTTGAGCCTTGAAAGATAGAAGGAACACAGACATGTGCAGATATTTATAGAAGAAATACTTTCACGACTGGACAGAGAGAGAGAGAGAGAGAGAGAGAGAGAGAAAGAAAGAGAGAGAAGAGAGAGAGAGAATAGAGAGATAAGAGAGAGAAAGAAGAGAGAGAAAGAAGAGAGAGAAAGAAGAGAGAGAAAGAAGAGAGAAAGAAGAGAGAAAGAAGAGAGAAAGAAGAGAGAACAAAGACAGAAGAGAGAGTGAATAGAAAGAGGAGAGAGAAGATAGAAAGATTAAGGTGATAGAGGAGAGAGATGAGAAAGAGGAGAGATAGGAGAGAGAGGGGAGAGAGAAGAGAGAGAGAGGAGAGAGAGAGGAGAGAGAGAGGAGAGAGAAGAGAGAAGAGAGAAGAGAGAGAGAGAGAGAGAGAGGGGAGAGAGGAAAGAGAGAGGGAAGAGAGAGGGACAGAAGGAATGAGGTGAGGGACAGAGAACATTCATTAATTTAAGAAGTAACAGTGTGCCACCACAACATAAAGTATAAAAGCTGGCAGCTGTGTTCCTTGGGTCGCCATCTTCTTGGCTGTATTTCGTGGCATCTGGAAAAAAAAAAGACCAAAGAAAAAGACCAAATAAAGAGTTTAAACAAAAAAAAAAGAGAAACAAGAGTTTTAACCAAAATATTTAAAAAATTAAATTTAACAAATCTGATTTTACAGGAGACATTGATTACAATGTTTGAGAAATATAATCTCTAACTTCATTTCTACCCGATACATCCCACGTCGACCCTGTATGTAAGCGGCATGATCTGGCATTTTCCTAGCCGCGAACTGCACAAGATTAACAAGGTTTAAATGTAAACCCGTTGGATGCCTAGATCATACATACCTCGAGGCCTTAAATGGTATCTTAGTAGGTAATTACCTTGCCAGTTAAAAAATCCTTCACTTCATCAGATCTTATCAGCACCACTCCTGTACCAAAAATGTAAACCTTCATTAATGTATCCTGAACCAAGGGTCCTCAAGTCTTCACATTTATTATTATGTCATTTTTACAAATGAATTTAAATAATCTTTTTTTTTTTTAAAGCTCGGTTAATAAATAAATAGCAGAACTAAGATATTTTTAGACTTGAAAATAAGACAGAGCAGTTTCGGTCAAATGCCTTCTTAAAAAAAAAAAAATATAAAAAAAAAAAAAAAAAAATAAAAAAAAAAACAAGAATTAAAAAAAAAAAAACACATTTATTATTATGTCATTTTTACAAATGAATTTAAATAATCTTTTTTTTTTTAAAGCTAGGTTAATAAATAAATAGCAGAACTAAGATATTTTTAGACTTGAAAATAAGACAGAGCAGTTTCGGTCAAATGCCTTCTTAAAAAAAACAAAATTTAAAAAAAAAATAAATAAAATAAAATACAAAACAGGATTTAAAAAAAAAACAATGGAATTAAAAAGTTTTAAGTGTTTCCAGAAGACAGTGTAGCTCTCTCAGTCTTTGTCAAGAAATAAAGGCGCACTATAAAAGTGAAAAATATGTTGTACAAAACGAAAACCTGCCTCTTACATAATTGTGTGGCGCGTAAGGTCAAGATGTAAGAATTAATATTTTATTTAAGTTAACGCAATATTTTAAACTACTATTTAACAAAAAAATGAGACTAGAGATGGCGAGGAATTGGGGACCGCTAGTAACAGTATTTGATTAATTCTATAGGATGATACGGCTCCGAAAGTCTGAAGTAATTTGTCGTCACTCTCGCTAATATAGCATTTAAAAAAGTTTTATGCAGAGATTTGAATTGAATCGAAATGTTTGAACATTTAACCGAAATTAGGATGAATTATTTTTGAGTGGGTTACCATTTAGGTCGATTCATATTAATTGTCGTTTAAGAACTTCTCGATGTTTTTAAAGATGGTGGGGTAGGGAAGGAGACACTGGTTTTTAGGCACTGCCCCATATAAGATTAGGGCCCCATATAAGATTAGGACCTCTAGGTTGACCTTTTTCGCTCATTTCTGCCAGGGCTTCATCCTCTGTGCCATTGGCCCTGAACTTCGATGCATCGACGACTGTGAAAGTCTTGTAGCCTGGGAAACAAAAACAAAAATCATTGGAAACTGTTGCTATAGCGACATCTGAGAGTAACACTCACATGCGTGACCTCATTTTGAAAAAAAATAACATACACAAACTAGAAGATAAATATATTTAAAAATAACAGGCTATTTTTATTTTATTTTTTATTTTCAGATAGGATTAAATGAATTTTATTTATAAAATTTAGAGTTCAAATTTTCGAGTCTTCTAAAATATTTTTGTCACTTTTTTAAAATGAAGGCAATAATAGCTGCATCCATTCAATTTTATTTTAAACTTATCCATTTCAATCTAAATATAGGAAAATTACATATCCTAGAACAGATTAATAAATGAATTGTCGCAGTTAGATTAAAATTTGCCATTACACTAGGTATTTATTAGGGCTTATTTACAATGTACAAGAAGCTTTTGCTTATCTGGAGGATTTTTAAAATCTAAGAACACCAGATTCAAGAACAAGAAAAATACGAAACAAAACAATGTCTGTGGTCAGTATAGACATGAAAGGAATCTAGAGCAATTATTAATATTCAGTAATGAAAAATGTACCCAGAGATAGAGATGCAGGCTGTATTCTGAGAGAGTCGAGTTGCAGGCTGTATTCAGAGAGAGCCAAAGATGAAGGATGTATTCAGAGAGAGCCAAAGATGAAGGATGTATTCAGAGAGAGCCAAAGATGAAGGATGTATTCAGAGAGAGCCCGAGTTGCAGGCTGTATTCAGAGAGAGCCAGAGATGCAGGCTGTATTCACCTAAATCTTAAGCATCCACTTGCTTATCCAAAGGTTTAGCATCCAGTGCTGTTTACTGTATTCACCCAATAATATATAACCCATTGCTATGGCTGTACTCGACTAATGTGTTAGTATCCAGTGATGTGTACTGTACTCACCCAATGATATAGCATCCAGTGCTGTGTGCGTGACATCGAAGTCAGGTGCTAGACCCATCACAAACACAGTGTTGATTTGATTTGACTTCAGTGTGCCTTCCAACTCCGTCTCAAAGAGATGACCGTTGTCGTAAAATGCAGAGTATGTGTCGAGCTGAGGACATACAACATAACACAGTACAACTTTATGTCATGACGCTGAGGACATACAACATAGCACTGTACAACTTTATGTCATGACGCTGAGCACATACAACATGACACAGTACAACTTTATGTCATGACGGCTTACTTTGGTTCCCTATCAAAAGATTGGCTTATAGTTTGTGTGACCGATTCTGACAGCGTACGTTGCTGCATCCATGATCTGGTTTATGTGCAACGGTTTGGGACACGATGCGGCTATCGTAACGGCTCCCAGCGGGTGCCACGGCAGCCTTGAAACTCGATTGATGTCGAGTCCACGGAGGCATTGTCCAGTCGGTTCCTAGCAATTATTGTTAGTGACCCCCGGAACAGTCCTTGATTTCGCCGCACCTGATTAACGATAGCCAGACGACATACAGAACACACAGAAAAAACAACTATACAAATTATATAAAACGGGAAAAAATCCCGTCCGAAGCTAGTGCCGCATGTGTAGGACCACGCCATCCACCCACCTTCCCTTCACATACTGTTCACTGACACATTAAAAGACTTAATGCTGTATAGCAACGCTTCTCAACTTTTTATGGGGAGCGGACCGATGAACACGATTTGATATGGCACCAGGTACCGGTGCCGGTCTTTTAAATTATTATTTGACCATAAAGTAAGGCTGGCGGGCCGTTGCTGTTCCGCGGACCACCAATTGGGGGGGGGGGGGCGCGGCGGTAAATCAGAAATATTTGGGGGCAAGACATACGTCGGGGGGCGCCAGACAAGACATACGTCGAGGGGCGCCAGACTAGCGGGGGGGGGGCATCAAAATAGACCTTGATGAAATTCGATGGCTGAAAATAATTAGTTCAGATTTGAGAGTAAAAATGAAACATGTCCAATAACGCCAAATGCTGTAGCTACGCACCTTCCAGTCGCGTAGAAAGGGGGAGCATGGTGTTGACCCTTTTTTTTCGGGGTGTGGGGTAAAAATCGAGGGTGCCAATGAATCTTGCTTTTGTTTATAGAAATAAAAGCAAGACAAAGATTATTAAGGTAAACTCAGCCAACCAAGAGCATATAATTCTGGTAGGAAATTCTCTGGAAGAAGTGGAGGCCTTCACATACTTAGGCAGCATCATTGACTTAAATGGTGGACCCGAAGCCGATGCCAGGGCTGGAGTTGGAAACGCTGGGTCAGCCTTTGTGCTATTCAAGAAAATAGGGGAGTAAAAGGGGCTGATTCTTCAAATAGTTCAAACTAACAATTTTCAAGAAAAATGTCAAAACAGTCCTCTATGGAGCAGAAACTTAGAGAACAGCGAGGATTCCGCAAAAGGTCCAGACCTTCATTAAACACTTGCATTAGAAAGATCCTGAACATCAAGTGGCCAAAATCTATCACCAACAAAGAGTTCCTATAGTTAGGACATATGAGGAACCTATTGCTGAAGACATAAGGAACAGATGGATGTGGATAGTGCACACTCTCCGCAAACCCCCAGATAACATCACCAGAGAATCCCCTTCATGAAATCCACCGGGAAAATTGAAGAGAGGAAGCCCTAAAAATACATGGAGACGCAAGCAAGAGGCAGTCAAAGAAAGTATAGGATACACAACTTGAAAGAAACGCACAGGACCGAGATGAATGGAACATTCTTGTAGCCGCCCTATGCATAAGACGGGGTAAAAGGCATAAGAAAGAAAATAAGATGAGTCTTTAGCGGTGGAGGGGTCTGGGCAGCCTACACCCAAAAATTTATTTTCGTTTTTCAAAATCAAGAGGTGCATTTTGGAGTATAGTTGAATTCTATGTTTCTATTAGACTTTTTTTTATCAGGGGCAGGGCATTTGTAAGGGTCTGGGAAGCCATTATGGGGCCAGTGCCATACATAAACTGAATTACTTTTAGTCGTGGCGTGCCCCGGGTAATCATTTAGCAGAAGATGATATTCAAACCCATACTGTAATATTGATCAGGGTAAGGAAAGGCGTGCAGAGAGTGAGGGTGCTGAAGACAGTCGCGCAAGTTTAAAATGGAGGTGTGCATTTTTGCACGTCTTTGAATTCAATGTTTCTTTCAGACAATTTTGAGGTCGCATGTCAAACTTTCGTCGGGGATGCGCCAAAATTAGCCATTGTCATGATCAAAGACATCTTATGTCTTTTCTTTCCTTAGGGGTGGGGAAGAGACCAATGTTCCCTTTAAGCTGCGCGGCTGCACGGCCACGCAGCAATCTCACAGACGCCGCGCAGCAGTTTTGAGTACCGCGCAGCTAATTTCCACTTAAGTGTGTGTTTGTGTCTGTAGGCTGTAAAATTTTGCGCACAAAAAATTGATGCTGTAAAACTTTGCACACAACTTTATGATTTTGCACACGAACCAACAAACCTTAGAGGGAACATTGGAAGAGGACACCCCCCCCCCCGAGAGACGAGTGAAAGAAACCCTGCCGGGGATAGGTATCAAGGTTGTGAAACCCTAGTATTTATATATCAAAATAATTTATAAAACACATTTAATCCATGATCTTTATATTAGTGGGAGATTCTTGCCTCTTTTAAGTTCTATGTCAATTGTATCGAGTCCTCTACCTTTTATTTTCCAGCGGATATATTCTTATCGAATGAATGAGAGGAGCGTTGTTCTGTGAATTAATGAACCGAGCCAGGCAGCTAATGTTGCTATTTTACAAAGCAATATAGTGGAGAAATAATACCTGACATGTGGTTCCAGTCTTAATGATGACGTCACTGGTACTAACGGTCAGCTGTTTTGAAATGCTCGAAGACGTTGGGCCGGACGTGACGTCCTCCACACAGTGGTCAGGCCACAACTTCTGCTGGAAGGGCAGTGTTTCTAGGTTGGCCGGACAGGTCAGCACGCCGGGGACCTTGGTTTGGTTGATGTTGTCGGAACAAAGCGTGCCTGGGGGTCACGGAGGGGGGAGTCAAAACAAATGATTAAGATTAAAATCAGTGTTTGATGTTGGGATAAGTACGCTTTGCAATTTGGATGAAAAAAAAATCTTAAAACTTCTTGATAAGAAATTTAATAATTTTTCCTCAATTTGTTAACTGGGACAGCCCGATTATTATTTATTTGAGGGTGGGGCAAGAAACATTGACCTTTCTACTTTGTAACACCAACTTCATTTGTGAGATACTTCTCTAACAGTCTTACAGTAGGGGGCGGGGAAAAGAGGGTGGGTTTAAAAAAAAAAAAAAGAAAGAAAAAATGAAGTGAGAAACAGATAAAAATTATTTAACTGATTGGTTGATTGAATACTTATATAGCGCTTGTATCCATGCTATTTTACCCACGCTATTTTAGCATGGACACAGCCCTCTCCGTGATGGCATCAGTGGCGTCGAAGGAGTTGTCGGAAGATTCATTGTTTCCATGTTAGCCGCCTGTGGTACGCCATCTCCGTGTTTGAATTAAGAGTTTTCCTTTAGATGAGTTGCCATATAAGGTCAACGAGTCCCATCCACCCGGGGTGCTGGTGAGGTTGTTCTCTTGACTTGGCTTTGGTGGGGATTGATATCCAGTCCAGACCATGAACTTGTGATTGGCTCAGTTTAGACCACTGGGCCACCCAGCACTCCTGATGACCTTGCATCGATTTCCGTTGCTTAATTTTATATTTAAAAGCAAGACAAAAGCAAATAGCAACTATAGTAGGTCTCCTCCTAGAAGCCTCATTTTACCCATTAGCATTTGTGAATACGTTTCTCTATTGAACCCATAGTCCAGCCCATGTATGTTTAAATTTCTTACCATTTGTAAGATATTTTATTTGAACTACGTCATAGGGCGCCTTTCCCGGATGGGACGAGGCGAATGATACATGATGGGGACAATGCGATTCCTTGGACAGCACCACCAGTTTAAAAAGCTCGCCGGAGTCTTTACGGATGCTGGGGAAATATGTGGTCGAGAAAATGTTTGACATTCATCTCAAACTTTCAAATATAGAGTTAAATATATATATACAAAACTTGCTTCGGCGTCTGATAACTTTAAGCCTGAAAGTGTAAACTGGTGGAATTTTGTTAGAACTGAATAAGGAAATAAGATTAATATTTTCTCCTCAGCTAAACGAAAACTAGTCTCTTTGTAGGAAAAAAATAATCAGGTAGGTTATTGTTACATCATCCAGGAAGAAAAATCATGTTAATAAATTAGGATAGTCACGTCATCCAGGTAGGATAGTCACGTCATCCAGGTAGGATAGTCACGTCATCCAAGTAGGATAGTCACGTCATCCAGGTGGGATAGTCACGTCATCAGGTGGGATAGTCACGTCATCAGGTGGGATAGTCACGTCATCAGGTGGGATAGTCACGTCATCAGGTGTGATAGTCCCGTCATCCAGGTATGATAGTCCCGTCATCCAGGTATGATAGTCACGTCATCCAGGTATGATAGTCACGTCATCCAGGTATGATAGTCACGTCATCAAGGTATGATAGTCACGTCATCCAGGTATGATAGTCACGTCATCCAGGTATGATAGTCACGTCCTCCAGGTATGACAGTCACGTCCTCCAGGTATGATAGTCACGTAATCTAGGTAGTATAGCCACATTATCATGTATGATAGTCACGTCATCAGGTAGATTATAGCCACGTCATCAGGTAGATCAGGCCCGCACAACTCAAAATGTTAGGCGGGCCATAATGCATTATGAAAAACGTGTGCGGGCCAAAAGAAAATAAGACAGGACTTGTGCGGGCCAAAAACTATAGTTCAGGGGGTAAATTATTAAGAAAATAATAATAACAAGTTTTTCGATACCTCGCAGGCCACAAAGTGGGTGCAGGCGGGCCATATGCGGCCCGCGGGCCGTATATTGTGCAGGCCTGACGTAGATTATAGTCACGTCATCAGGGAGATAATTGTCACGTCATCAGGGAGATACAAGTTGGGTGGGTTGGTTCCCCTCAATCATTTCTAAAATGTTCTGAAGTTGGAGTGACAGCCTTACAAATTTGTAAGACTCCACATCTATTAGACGCCAAAAAAAAAGAAAAAAAAAGAATGGAATTCTACAAGGTTCAACTCAACTGTGATAAAGGGCCGTAAATCAATATAGACTTACTTGTTGATAATAGGAATGATTGTTTCCCCTTGGTTAACGGCCACGCTTCCACCGGGCAGGAAACAATCTTGAATGTAAAGGACGAGCATCGCAGCACGCATCTCTTTCACAGCGTGACACGGGTCATTGAGGGTCAAGGTCAGGATGAGGGTCACAGTGAGGATGTCACTAATCACCCTATGGCAAAAAAAAAATGGTTTTAAAAGTCAGGAATGAAATGAGCGATTTGTGGAAGAGAATGAATGCAAGACCTAGCCTGATGGACCAATTACGAACAATCGTTGACATTCTTCACATACCCAAATTTACCATGACATTTGGAGATAATTACCCCTTCCCATAAGAGCAAGACAAAGCATACGTATGGCGTGAGCAGCTTAACTTGAGTGGACTGAGTGGACCTCTTTACTTCCCATAGGTACGCTCACACAATATATTTGCTTCTGAGAATCTCAACCAGGTAGTAGGCCATGGCCATGCAAGTCACGTGATTTCTGAGATCACGTGCTGCTCGTGACAAACAAAAACTGAGCAAACAGGTTCCACAGCCACGTGTTTGGTAAGTGTCACTGTATAGTGTCCGCTGGCCACATATCCGTCAAATTTTTATCCGTGCGCATGCCCTCTCCGCTGACAGGTTAGTATCACAGCTACCGGTAGACATCTGTTGTGGTCACGCGCCAAAAAAAAAAAAATCAACAACCTCGATAAAGTTGTTTTTAGTACTACCGGTATTCAAGTTGTAATACTAATTCAGTCCTGTAGGACAGAAGTAACAGTAATTGTAAGTCATGATGTAGGACAAAAGATTTGGCTAATTTGGAGAGATGTCGCCGAGACAATCAGGGACTGGAACACGCTTTCAAAAGGAACATTTGAGGCGACAAAACTAGACTCATTTGTGTCCATTGTCTCAAGCCTTCCAACCCCCAGTGCATGATTCCCTCACAAAAGTGGCACTGGAAATCAGTGAAATGTCAGCACCAGGCACAGAAAAATTGCTAATCCCATCTACATTCATAGGAGACAAAATGATCAAGAAATTGATCGAAGGCCCTTAAGATATCGAAGAAGAAGAAGAAGTGTTTATTATGGTTGCAGTGAAGTAGGGTTCAGTTTAGGTTTAGGGATACATTTAGTTTAGGTTTAGTGACATAATTAACTGGTCGTGTCAACCAAGATGGCAGCCATGTGGCGTCTGCTCTCCGAATTTACCGAAGATTCTTATCTATCACTAAATCAAGTCAATTTGGACACATTTTCATCCTAAACTTGATTAGTTTTTGGTTTTTGTTTAAAGCCAACCGTCTTTCAATAATACAAACGATGCCTGAACATTGATCAACCACTACAACTTGGGGGAAGAAAAATACTACTCAACTTTTTCAAAAAAAAAACCTTCAATCACATCTGAGAAGAATAATTGAATCAACTTACATGGTCAAGCAATAGGTCTTGCCCACGAACACAATCTCTCTGGTCAGATGTCTGGGTCACACAAAAATTATCCGCAGGAGAACTGGACGACGGACTTTTCCTCCTTTCCTCTCTATCCTCGCTACTTAAGAGTAGACTTAAGTCACCGAAGTGTAAATTCACCAAAGTCTACATTCACGTCCATGTAGTAATGTTACGAAGCACCCTATACAAGGCCACAAAATTGTCTTGGTGTTGTTTCACGAAAGTTAAAACACAAGTCTGGCCGGTGAGGAGTTCAACGGAAGGAGCCTGAACAAGTGGGGGAATGTGGCGCAGGGGAAAGCGTGAACTAAAACCAGGGTTTCATGAGTCGACAGTGAACGCTTCGTGTTGTCATACATATTGTGGCCAGGGGCGTAGCCAGATTTTAACACTGAGTGTGAGGGGAGGGAGACGACAAAAATATTAAAAGGACCACTATTCAATCCACATACCCCAACCAACAAGTAAACACAAAAAAGCGGGGGGGGGGGGGGGGGTGGGGTGGTCAGCCTAAACTAAAAGGGGCTGGGACAGTTACTTTCATTGGTGGTGGGGGGGCGGGCGAGAAATTGAGGCAACCGAAAGTGAGGGGAGGGGTCTGAGCAGTGGATTCATTGAGACACTCATGGAAAATTGGTGAAAAATTAAAAATGCACTCCGGGATTTTGTCGCATGCATGAGTTCAGTGTATCATAATCAGTGTATCATAATCAGTGTATCATAATCAGTGTATCATAATCAGTGTATCATCATCAGTGTATCATCATCAGTGTATCATAATCAGTGTATCATCATCAGTGTATCATAATCAGTGTATCATAATCAGTGTATCATAATCAGTGTATCATCATCAGTGTATCATAATCAGTGTATCATAATCAGTGTATCATCATCAGTGTATCATAATCAGTGTATCATCATCAGTGTATCATAATCAGTGTATCATCATCAGTGTATCATAATCAGTGTATCATAATCAGTGTATCATAATCAGTGTATCATAATCAGTGTATCATCATCAGTGTATCATAATCAGTGTATCATCATCAGTGTATCATAATCAGTGTATCATCATCAGTGTATCATAATCAGTGTATCATCATCAGTGTATCATAATCAGTGTATCATAATCAGTGTATCATAATCAGTGTATCATAATCAGTGTATCATCATCAGTGTATCATCATCAGTGTATCATAATCAGTGTATCATAATCAGTGTATCATCATCAGTGTATCATAATCAGTGTATCATCATCAGTGTATCATAATCAGTGTATCATAATCAGTGTATCATAATCAGTGTATCATCATCAGTGTATCATCATCAGTGTATCATAATCAGTGTATCATCATCAGTGTATCATAATCAGTGTATCATAATCAGTGTATCATAATCAGTGTATCATCATCAGTGTATCATAATCAGTGTATCATAATCAGTGTATCATCATCAGTGTATCATAATCAGTGTATCATCATCAGTGTATCATAATCAGTGTATCATAATCAGTGTATCATAATCAGTGTATCATCATCAGTGTATCATCATCAGTGTATCATAATCAGTGTATCATCATCAGTGTATCATAATCAGTGTATCATCATCAGTGTATCATCATCAGTGTATCATCATCAGTGTATCATAATCAGTGTATCATCATCAGTGTATCATCATCAGTGTATCATCATCAGTGTATCATCATCAGTGTATCATCATCAGTGTATCATCATCAGTGTATCATCATCAGTGTATCATCATCAGTGTATCATCATCAGTGTATCATCAAGTGTATCATCATCAGTGTATCATAATCAGTGTATCATCATCAGTGTATCATCATCAGTGTATCATCATCAGTGTATCATCATCAGTGTATCATCATCAGTGTATCATCATCAGTGTATCATCATCAGGGTATCATCATCAGTGTATCATCATCAGTGTATCATCATCAGTGTATCATCATCAGTGTATCATTATCAGTGTATCATCATCAGTGTATCATCATCAGTGTATCATCATCAGGGTATCATCATCAGTGTATCATCATCAGTGTATCATCATCAGTGTATCATCATCAGTGTATCATCATCAGGGTATCATCATCAGTGTATCATCATCAGTGTATCATCATCAGTGTATCATCATCAGTGTATCATCATCAGTGTATCATCATTCCAGGCTGAACTTTGACAGGAGGAGAACACATGTCATGGGAATTTTAGGCGGGCCTATTTTCAACCAACCCCCCCCCCCACCCATAAACTACATAATTTGCTTGTAGTCAGTAGTACTTTGAAACATTTAAGACTACTTAGTGAACTGATTCTCTATCCTTGTGGCTTTATTCTCTATCCTAGTGGCTTTATTCTCCATCCTAGTGGTTTGATTCTCTATCCTAGTGGCTTTGTTCTCCATCCTAGTGGCGTTATTCTCCATCCTAGTGGTTTGATTCTCTATCCTAGTGGCTTTGTTCTCCATCCCAGTGGCTTTATTCTCCATCCTAGTGGCGTTATTCTCTATCCTAGTGGCGTTATTCTCCATCCTAGTGGTTTGATTCTCTATCCTAATAGCTTTGTTCTCCATCCCAGTGGCTTTATTCTCCATCCTAGTGGCGTTTATCTCCATCCTATTGGTTTGATTCTCTATCCTAGTGGCATTATTCTGCATCCCAGTGGCTTTATTCTCCATCCTATTGGTTTGATTCTCTATCCTAGTGGCTTTATTCTCCATCCTATTGGTTTGATTCTCCATCCTAGTGGCTTTATTCTCCATCCTATTGGTTTGATTCTCCATCCTAGTGGCTTTATTCTCTATCCTAGTGGCTTTATTCTCCATCCTATTGGTTTGATTCTCCATCCTAGTGGCTTGATTCTCCATCCTAGTGGCTTTATTCTCCATCCTAGTGGCTTTATTCTCCATCCTAGTGGCTTTATTGTCCATCCTAGTGGCTTTATTCTCCATCCTAGTGGCTTTATTCTCCATCCTATTGGTTTGATTCTCTATCCTAGTGGCATTATTCTCCATACCAGTGGCTTTATTCTCCATCCTATTGGTTTGATTCTCTATCCTAGTGGCTTTATTCTCCATCCTATTGGTTTGATTCTCCATCCTAGTGGCTTTATTCTCCATCCTATTGGTTTGATTCTCCATCCTAGTGGCTTTATTCTCTATCCTAGTGGCTTTATTCTCCATCCTATTGGTTTGATTCTCCATCCTAGTGGCTTGATTCTCCATCCTAGTGGCTTTATTCTCCATCCTAGTGGCTTTATTCTCCATCCTAGTGGCTTTATTCTCCATCCTAGTGGCTTTATTCTCAATCCTAGTGGCTTGATTCTCCATCCTAGTGGCTTTATTCTCCATCCTAGTGGCTTTATTCTCCATCCTAGTGGCTTTATTCTCCATCCTAGTGGCTTTATTCTCCATCCTAGTGGTTTGATTCTCTATCCTAGTGGCTTTGTTCTCCATCCTAGTGGCGTTATTCTCCATCCTAGTGGTTTGATTCTCTATCCTAGTGGCTTTGTTCTCCATCCCAGTGGCTTTATTCTCCATCCTAGTGGCGTTATTCTCTATCCTAGTGGCGTTATTCTCCATCCTAGTGGTTTGATTCTCTATCCTAGTGGCATTATTCTCCATCCTAGTGGTTGGATTCTCCATCCCAGTCGCATTATTCTCCATCCTAGTGGTTTGATTCTGTATCCTAGTGGCTTTATTCCCCATCCTGGTGGCTTTATTCTCTATCCTAGTGGCTTTATTCTCCATCCTAGTGGCTTTATTCCCCATCCTAGTGGCTTTATTCTCCATCCTAGTGGCTTTATTCCCCATCCTAGTGGCTTTATTCTCCATCCTAGTGGCTTTATTCCCCATCCTAGTGGCTTTATTCTCCATCCTAGTGGCTTTATTCTCAATCCTAGTGGCTTTATTCCCCATCCTAGTGGCTTTATTCTCCATCCTAGTGTCTTGATTCTTCATTAATTTAAATTTGATTCATTTCCAAAAGTTTTTTTATCTTGTAGTAAAAATTAAATGTGTTCCCAAAAGTAAATTAATTTCAAAATGTAAAATGTAAACAATAATATAAAACCAACAACACGAGCAATAGAGCACGAGCAATAGAACACGAGCAATAGAGCACGAGCAATAGAGCACGAGCAATAGAACAAAACCAAGCCTGTCATTCCCAGCCGGGCACTGGAGCCCTCCACGACGAAGCTGTCACCAAGGTAACAACATAGAGAGAAAGCAAATGAGAAATGTAACGTAAACACAAATATAGTTTAGTTATTTTTTCCTGAAGTAATTTTTTCTATTTTCAAATCTTGAGTGACAAATTGTCATCATAATTTCTTTAGACTCATTTAATCATCTTAAAAGGAGACATTGGGTCCCTCAGCCGGGGATGTAAAGATTTATTTATCTGATTAAAAATTAGCTAAACCAATCATTTGAAATCGCACATTTTTCTAAATAAAGCCCCTCCATTATGGAAGCCATTCCATTGTAGAGACAAAAAGATAAAGGTAGAGAATAGTAATTAACTGAGATTGGTGATTACAATTAAGTACGAGATTGATGGTTAAAATTAAGTAGGAGATTGGTGATTACAATTAAGTAAGAGATTGATGATTACAATTAAGTAAGAGATTGGTGATTACAATTAAGTAAGAGACTGATGATTACAATTAAGTAAGAGATTTGTGATTACAATTAAGTAAGAGATTGGTGATTACAATTAAGTAAGAGACTGATCATTACAATTAAGTAAGAGATTGAGGAAGAAACAAAGAGAACAATATTTATAAATAATTGATTTGGAAGATAGTTGAAGAGAGAGAGAGGGGGGATAAAGGAAGAAATGGAGAGATGGAGTGGAGTGAGAGATATAGGGAGATAGAAGTAGGGGAGAGAGAGGGAGAGAGAGCGAGAGAGTGGAAGAGAGAACGGAAGAGAGAGAGAGAGAGAGAGGGTGTGGAGAGTAATGGATGGAGAGAGAGAGAGGTGGAGAGATGGAGGGAGAGACAGGTAGTGGAGACAGTGGGAGATAGAGGGAGGAGAGGGTGGAAAGGGAGGGGAGAGAGATGGAGGTGGAAAGAGTCGGAGAGATGGAAGGAAATGAGGGAGAGGAGAGAGACAGAGGGAGGAGAGTGATATATCATGAATTAACAATAGTAGTAAAAGGCGCAAAAATAATTCATGTGACGTCAGAGTGAGCAGATGTGTTCCTTCCATTGTCAACCTCGTAGCCGTGTTAGATTTGCCCTGGAAGAAAACACAGCCTT